CAAGTCTTTATTATAGATTCGTTTGAAGATCGCGTTAATGCGTCTGTTATACGAAACCTACTGCAGTCAGCGGCAGATGCCAACATGAACGTAGTGAGGAACTGGGGAGGAGGCATTTATCAACACGACATATTTTATACCATTGCTGATGAATTGGGGTGAGTTCAATGTGCGCAGGTAAAATTTATAGCATTCAGACATACAGCAATTTAGTAACCATGCAACTTATTTCCGCAGTCTACAGTACAGTCTGTGAAAAACAGTCTTTTTTATAGTGTGTGTGCGAGTAGGAGTGGAGGGGTGATCTGACAATTGCTGTCCAGTTAGAACACTTATAGGGGGTACGGTTGAATTGGAGCTGGTTGAATACCCCGCATAAAATGCCGAATGGTAATTGTCGAACGGATATTGCACGCCTGAAAGGAGCCATGAGTTTGGCTAATTGTTGGGAAATAATAACTGATTATACTGTACATAGTCTAAGGAAATCATTAAGGTGAACCCAAAGAGTGGAAGTCTGTATGTCAAACTGCGCTTAACAATAATCCATTTCTGTCATCTCCGTTTGACAATCGTCGTTCGCCATTCTCCATTTGAAACAGTTGCATATTGCGGCAATCCATAATTGTTATTGAATACTGATATTTCATAGATTATCATCGAGTTTGTCATGGTTTTTCATTTTCTTTTTTAATCCCCGTGATGTTTTGTAGGTTACTAGTTTGGGAGGAATTCATGTTCGCGTGTTCCATGTACCCAACAAACAGTGATTTCTTGAACAATATCAAAGAAGAAGTAGTTTATCAAGTAAGCAGCACAATATCTTTGGATATCGACCACCTTGATATACGACCGCCTTCTACACCGATCATTATTTAGTGTGACACGACCATCTCATTACCACACATCTTGAAATCTTGTTCTCGTGCTCAACCCGTGACTAATGCTTTTAAAAAATCTTACGGCTGACAACTTACTAAACATGTACTAAATCGGCCAGTTAACAATATTTGCTATGTTTTTTTTTTCAGATAGAAAGGCTCAGCCACCATCCATCCGTGTTTGTCTGGAGTGGTAACAATGAAAACGAGATTGCCTTGGCTCAGAATTGGTAAGGGAATATATTTTCAGCATATTATATGTCAACACTTAGCAGACGGAAATATTCAGCTTAACTTTTTTACCATCTGATTTAGTGCTGAAAACGTGAAAATGGTTCACTATTTACACCGATGGCTGATAAACTATGAAGTCTAGTAATGCGTTTTCTGATAGAATCCATTTAATCCATTAATTTGTCGCGTTTTTTATATTTTATGGATTGTTAGGTCTTTCTCAGTCAGTTTCCGTTAGCATTCCTTTCTTTTCTTCTTTCTACTTTTGGGCTTCCTGTCTTCCTAAATAGGACTGCTCAACCGTAGAAAGATGGCGGAGCAGTGTTCTCGCGTGATTTGCAATTGTTTTCTTTAGTCTCGTTGCTTTTTAAGTTACTAAAGGACAAAATATAATGACAGAAAAATAGATGAGAGAAAATGACATTTATTTGTGTAATTCACAGTCAATGTTAATTTAATTTAGTCCAGAAAATGGTAGGTTTTGATCCTAACCGCKTGGAGAAAGGGAGGGAGACTGAGCCGACCCAAGCTAAACAACGGGATACCAGAGGGATTCCAAAAGGGCAAAATGTAATCTTTGCGTCCCTTAAGGAGGTTAACTTTTCGTTTCTTTCTGCAGGTACAATACAAGTCGTAATAAGAGTTTGTACATGAAGGACTACATCAAGGTAACTAGTGTGGTGTGATCATTTATATCACTGAAAAGGGATGCTGTACAAAAGGACACTTCCAACCCTCCTTGTATGTATAATATTGAGAACATTTTTAAACGCACAATTGTATCAAAATTGTTTTGAATTCTTGCTTCCCGTTACCGCAACACCTACCTAGCAGTGTTTCATGTTTGTTTTCCTCCACAGCTATATATCGATACAATTAAGAAAACTGTCCAATCAGAAGACAYCAGTCTTCCGTTCATTGTCTCTTCTCCGTCTAATGGACTGGAATCGAAGAAAGAAGGATGGCTGTCCAAATTACCCAATAGTCCTTTGTGGGGAGACGGTGAGGATTGACCATATATGGATAAAGCATTACATTCGAAATTTTTGCGACTCCYACCAAGTTTCTGAGACTCTGTAACCGCTTTATATACTCTTTGCCCGATTTATAGCTAGTGCAATCAAAGACTGAAGTAKATATTGCCTATATTTGTACAGCGCTTGAGCTATGTGAGCATTTTGTTTTAACGAACAGTAACTGATCCCCTTAATGACCCTAATACGCACTCAAGTTCTAATGCGTATATTTTTAGTTCACTATTATAATTATACCATGGATTGCTGGAACACGTCTGGATACCCTAAGCCTCGATTTGCTTCAGAATATGGGTTCCAGTCCTACCCATCTTTTGAAACTCTCAGCCGTGTATCGATCGAAGAGGACTGGAACTATGACAGCAAATTCATGGATCATAGACAACATCATGCAAATGGTGGGTAACTGGATGGAAAGTCAATCAATCAATCAATCAATTAATTGAGTCAATCAATCAATTAATCAGTCAGACAATCAAGCAATCAATCAATCAATCATTGTTTAAATTCCACAGGCAACGAAGAGATGATGAATGCAATATCACGTCATTTCAACCTTCCAAATTTATCAGACTCTACTCGAAAATTCAAAAACACTTTATTTCTAACTCAGGTACAAACATCAATCAACACATTCATCAAATTAAGTATAGCGTCATCACAATGTGTCCTTTCTCTGAAGGTTGCTCAAGCAATGTGTATCAAGGTGGAGTCGGAGCATTACCGAAGACTTCAAAGCCAATTAATAAACGTAATGTATTTAGCTTAGAGCGGATTTCGTATGAGTGGGACACCGTTACCGCACGGTTACCGCACAGTTACCGCACCTGGCCTACAGAATTTTGGTGAAACAATGGGGCACTAGAATTTGGTTACAGTACGATTACGGTCACAGTACAGTACCGTCCGTTTCCCACTCATACGAAATCCGCTCTATTTCGCTCAAAGCTAAATGTTGAATGACCAAAAATCATCCCACATCATTGAATCATCAAACATGTTCTTGAGTGGCCAAAATTGAGATTTCAAACATCGCGCGCATATCAAAACAAATGACTTCAGAATTGAATCTTGTTTGATGAATTCCTGGCCAAACAAGAAAAGTTTGATAACTAAGCATTAAGATGGCAATAGTCCTAAACTAGGCCTTGGGGGCTAACATTTGTATGCTCCATCCAAAACATTCATCAGCATTGAGCAAGGCGTTGGGTTGTTTAACAATCTTTGCTTACTCAAAATTAAATAAATTTCACAAAGGCGGACAAACGGCAAAATGGCGGGTCGTCGCCAACAATATTTATTAGATGGTGCTTGTTCAGATTCAACATTTGGGGAAAAGAGAAAATATGGCTAAGAGTGCTAGTCGCTCTTCATCGCAACACGAATGTTGAATGCGAAGGATACGTAATATACAGTCAGTCATAGTTCACTCATCTTCGCGGTCTAATTGTGAAATATTCATTACGTTGCAGGGACAAGGAAAGACTATGGGCGCCATATACTGGCAGTACGTAGAGCTATGAACTACAAAATCACACAATCTTTAAAGCTTTCGTGKTTTCTTGGCTTGTCTCGGCTTATGCTGCGTACTGCGGAGACGGTGGCCTGATTTTCAAACGGTGCAAAACTTGTTTTGACTGAAAAATGCAGCCTAAATGGACGATATTTTAAAGCTTGTAGTGTTTTAAAGGTTGTGGGTTTTTGTATGTTTGTTATTTTATTAGTTGAGTGGTTGTTTGAAGTATGTTTATTGATTATTAAATTATATATCAATATTAATATATTAAATTATTATACAGCTGTTTGCAATAATTCTGACGCCCTCTGCCATATTTCATATATATCAAACTGACCTTAAATATTATGGGATATCATGACTGATATATATTTTTTGAGTTGCCCAGAATGAGTACTTTCTCAAAAAAATATCAGCATTGGTATCCCATAATTTCTAAGGCTACTTTGATATATATGAATATTAGTGTAGGGGGGTCAGAATTATCGCAAATAGCTGTATATCAATGAACAGATTGAATAGCATTTGGCAGAGTCCATCCTGGTCGTCGTTAGAGTACGGAGGCAAATGGAAGGTACTTTAATCATAAGATTGTTATTCCTTTAGTTAAAAGCTTAATGGCGTAGCCAAATAAAACACTTCACCGATGCACTTGATTATATAAATTAGACCTTTGCAAAAGGCTTTAGTTTAAATGAGTTATTGTTAGTAATTTTGCTGAGGAAAGTTTCTCTATTGTCTGTGGTAGCTTCTGACATTGAAAAATCGGACAAAAGCGCACAACGAACAAGTTTAAAAATGYTGGAAATCGAGAGCCCATGCAACTGCTAAGCGAGCAAACAAGAATAATACTGARTGTTGATTTGCTTCCATGATTCATTCACTTGTGGCATCTAATTTCAATGCCTTTCAATACATTCAGRTGTTGCATTATTTCGCCAAAGACTTCTTCAGCCCTGTAATCTCATCAGCCTACGAGGAGGGTGACGGAGTGTTATTTGTTTACGTGGTTACAGACTTGGTGCAGGTTAGAGTAATATTTGTGTCGCCTAACCGCTCTACATTGATCAGGATTGAATGAACTAGATCAATAGGCAACGTGCAGCGACGCCATTTTGAACAGCAAAGCATGATGGGAGTTATAGTCCTCACACTTTTTATAACCCCTAAACACTCTTCCTAAAAGCCGTTTCTATGTAAATACGAATCAACCACTTCTCTTTTTTCACACACACACACACACACAAAACAAAAAACAAAAACAATACAAAAAACAACAACAAAAACGGCATAGCAAGACTGTTTTAGCGGACATGAAAAAGTGCGGGGACTACAACTTTTGCCTATTGCTCAGATATTATTTTTATTTTAGCCAATAGTAAATGGTGAATTGGTAGTTTCAATAAGAAAATGGGACTCATTTCAAGTATTTCGTCAGTGGACCACCAATTTTTCCATCAAATCACAAACAGCGGTAAGTAAAACGAACTCCAAAGAAATGACACATCGACGAAAAGGGCTTTACGGGGGAGATTGGCGCGAGCGGAAGTTTCCTTAAAGTTTGGCCTTTCCAGGTCCACTCAAAAGTCAAAAGATATATTGCTTAAGAGTTTTGGAAAATGAAGAAATACTTGAAGGCAAGCAAGGACGTATAGAACAACAACAACAAAAATAATAAAAAATAAGGCCAAAAAAGAGAAAGAAAAAGAAATGAAATAAGTTTAGCTTGGTCTTTGGGTATGTTTGTATCGGCTGATCGATTCACTATATTTTATGTTTCTCTATTTCTTTCAATTTTGTCTTAAGCTCTCATAATCTCCAGCAACATTTCGGTTTATTTAAACTCCAAAAAGCGATTACTTGAAATAGTTTTCAGCCATTGTAAAATCAAACCTTCACTATCTAGCCTCCGTAAGCAGACGTTCCAAGCAGTTCGATTCTGCAGGAGAGAATCGAATCGCTTAGAACGTATGCTTAAGGATGCTATTCACTATCGATGTAATCTTATTTTTCAGCATTTGGTGTTCAGCAAAGCGATAACRGAAATCTTGGAAGAGAGTTCGTGTCCAAGTCGTGATCACTGTGTGCTWTCGCTATCGGTGATGAATAACAACGGGGATGTCCTGGGGCCAAGTAATACTTTCTTCCTGTCCAGTCTTTCTAAAGCAGTTGGGCTGAAAGATCCTGGTCTCAAGGTGAGCCCAGCCTATTGTGATTCAAATTGTTTTGATGCATTATGGTGACGTTAAGTGTCAGGAAGGAAATTTCATCTGCGCAAATTGGCACAATATAGTTCAATGTAACTGAGCCAACAATATTGTGAACATGATCAAATCCGCAGTGTTGCACACWGGGCTCAGACAATCACAACAAGTCAGCATCCAGCATTCTTTTATTTGGCTGTATGTCCGCGCTACCACGAGAACGCAATGCATTCTTGGACAACTTATGTCTTTACGCWGCACATGCGCGTCGACGCGCTAAACATTTCTCGGTTAAGTACAAATGGGTCTAATATTACTATTACTATTAACGTAATTACGTTATTGCGTTTCTAACGACCGCAATTTTGGATGGAATTAATGAAAGCATTTCTAAGTATAGCTGGTCTTTTTCGTTCATCAACAAAGAGGTGACTGCTTTCGCTTATATTAATTAATAGTTAAATAAATCTCTACACTCAGAACTTTCTCGACAAATACCGCATTTGCTGTCCATAACTTCGAAAAGGAACCAATGTCAAAATTCAAGATGGCGGACACACACATTCTTTATATAGAACTTCCCTTGTTAAATTACGCCAATTTTCAGCTAAATCCACCTAAAGTGGAAATTAATACTATACTTATTTTTTCTAGGTTGTAAACATAAAAACATCGGGGCAATTTTTTACTCTTGATATATCTGCCGAATCCCCTGCGCCGTTCGTTTGGTTGTCGGCGGGAAGCATCAAAGGTCGATTCTCTGAAAATGGCTTCCTTCAAGTCCAACCTTCGAGAACGGTAGGTCTAAGAATCTCTTGGGTGAAATATGAACTTTAAMGGGCTATGGTCAACCAGCATCCTTTTGAACTTTTGCTTATGTCTTTAAATAAAAATACATCTAAATATATGCAAAATAAATATATTCTTTGTATAGGATATAAAAACTTCCATTAACTCAATTTATGATATTTTTGCTTCTATTTCAGGTAATTTTTTACCCCTGGGAAACAACAACAGTAGAAGAATTAACAAAGTCTCTTAGTGTYATGTCTCTTTACAACACGTACACTAASCAAGAAGACACGAATCTCTTTAAATGAAGAATGTATCGATAAATAATACAAATATAATTTATATTTTACTAATGTAATACAATATAATATTTTCTCATGGATTGTGACTACTAAATGATACCTGCTCATCGTCATCTTCACAGGGTACATTACTGGCCTATAGCCTTTCCATATCCATCGGGTTCTCATTTTTTCGCTGCAAATGTTTTTTAGTCAATTATAGTTCCAAATACTAGTCCAATACTAGCGCATTGTCAATTAAAACCGAGCCCTAAAATCATGCCCACCCTCCTTCTCCACCCCAATCCTCCGAGGAATAACATTTTACAAAAAAAAAAAAACAAAAAAAAAAAACAAAAACAAAACAAACAAAAACAAACAAAACAAAAAATAAATCAAAAAGAAAACAACAACAACAAACAAACAAAACATACTAAACAAGAAAAGAAACAAACAAACAAAACTAAACACGGGAAAATTACGGGTTTAAATACTTTAAAGAAATGAAAAGAACGTACTGTGCCAGGCAATGCGCCGATTTTTCGTTGTTTGATTTTTTTGTGCCTCTTGTGACCATAAGTGTAACTTGTGCGGAGGTCGTGAGCACCTTGTCTGACCTGGTTCTGTCAAATTGCCAAGGGTTCTCTGCGCCACACTTTGCACGAGTTGCAGAAAAAATCAAACACAACTGAAAATCTTCGCATCTCGTCGCGAAGAAAGCTGAACAGCAAACATGACGCTGAACAAAGCAAGCTTGTGCATTTTCCTATCGTGTGCAACATGCTATCGTGTGCGGCGGGCTTTCGCCGATGAGCTACGAAGTTCCCAGCATTGGCTGGGTTACCTGTGTTAATGCGCGCGCACGTGATTGGTTTCTAGTCCTTCGATTCTTTCTTCTAGTAGTGTGGTTTTCGTTCAAACCGGCAAATATTTATTTCTTAGATTTGCCGGTTTAGTRCGCTAAAAGGCGTCTTTCTGCTACAGGTAAGCCAGATTTATTATCTTAAAGTATCATGGAAGAGGCCATTTGAGTAAACRTTTCGTGATCTTTTAAAWCTGGCATGGTTTTTGTCYTTCATCGTCTTGATACAAATACGACTTCCCATTGATTTGGATACATTCAAACAGTTTCTTAACACAATTCCATTGAATTGTGTTRAATCTTCACGCCATTTTTGTACTTAATTCACACAAACTTGATCATATAGTGTATTCTTATGCCACTTTGTCGTATGTACAGTTTTTGAATGCCCCGCTAGCCATGAACTCATCTCTCAATATTTTGCCGGTTGAAACACGAAATATTATTTCCGGCATTGTTTCKAAATGTTTTATAAGAACTGAAATCAAATGCTTCAAATGAAAATCCCATCTTGTTATATGGTTGTTGGATGTTTTTGGTTGTTTACAAGCCAGTACTGTTTTGTACAATGACGTGTAGTTTTGGCGCAATTTGTAAAACAAATAACCGCACAACACGTGGTTATACTGTTTGTATCCTGTTGAAGAAATACCGCGAGGTCGATACCGTAATAGTATTTTTTTCGCCAAATGTTACTCCTAGCATCAACCTTTGACGGTAAATTGATGTAAAAGTAGTTTGGAATCGTTTATTCATGTGCTAACTATTCTGCAGAAGGCATGTTTGGGGGAGGACAGGGGGTTGGGTCATGATCTTCCTTATGTACAAAGGCTCTATTGACATTTTTGGCTCCAAAAGTCTAAGACATTTTTCAAAGATTCTTGAAGTGATACATAGACTATCAGAGATACTTACTTGCATACTTGATCTTCCTGTGGTAATACAAATAGTGATACTCAGATATACATGATATTTTCTCTTTTTTTTAGAGTTTTATTGATTCAAAATCTTTACCATTGCTTATATTACATATTTGGTTGTCCTATAGGATCACTATGTTCCTGAGGGCCAGCACACGAGCATTGAAACACTGCCAACTTCATACAATTGGAGGTACTAATCCTTATTCTTTTAGTGTGGTATTATTACACCATTGTAAYGTTTCTTCTCATTTGACTTCAGGTGCAAAATATGGAGCTGCTAGCAGATTATCTAAGTTAACATCTCTCCATAAAACGTCCATCATWAAAGTAATAATATTGTTGTTGTTATTATTAGATGTTAAGAATAGGCATCAAAATGTGTGCAATTTTCTTAAAACCTTCAATTCTTAAATTACACAAACTCATCTTAAACTCACTAATTCTATTGTCTTGTCCATGTTACAGCTTACATTTATTTGAAACGTTTACTATCTTCATAGAGTGGTTTTCATAAACCCGTGAAATACACTTTAGCTTAATACACTTTATTACACCCTAATACCATTGTTTTCTTTTATTGTCATCTGACTATTACACTTTAACTAATAGTTTTTGTTTCACAGGTTTATGAAAACCACTCTAGTACAAGTCATATTTTCTAATATTAGATTTATGTGTGATCTAGGATGCTTTCTTCTATCCAAAACTTTATGCTGGTACAGCACGTTTTTGCTCAAACCAGGCAAAAGGTATGGTCAATATTGTAGATAAATTTGTCTCATTTTGCAGTTTGAGGAGAATTTAAAGGTGCTATTTTTACAAGAACAAGGGACTCTGAAGTTAGCGGTCCTCTGGTCGTCAGGGAAAACTAAACTTTGGGAGTGTGACGACTAGAAATATGGCTGCACTTCTGACAACCACAGTTTTTTGTCAAAATGTTTCCTTTTATCAAAAATATAAGAATAATGTCAGAAATTATTTCAAAATTATTCTTCTTCTGCTAAAAGTCTAGAACTTTCCATTTTCAGTGGGCAAACTTCTGAAAATTTGAGATATATATTTGCAAGATGGCCAAGAGTCATTTAATACTGCTGAAACATTTGATTGCATCTCAACCATGAAATAATTTTTTTTTTTTGGAGTGTCCCCGTCCAAAAATGGATCAAGTCCCTCCCCCAGGCTTTGTGCAAGGCTATTTAATCAGAAAATCAAATATTGGGTTTATTTTTTATAAATATTTGACAAAGTAGATGTGTTTTCCAATATTATAAGCTATTCTACTTTTATTATTTTTTTGTTATCATTAACAATAAATTTTGTTATTGTTTCCAGAGAATGCGGAACCATCAGCCGTCCCATTGACACCATATGACCAACTCACCATTGGTGTYCCTAAAGAAACCTTCCCTGGWGAGCGCAGGGTTGCCATCAGTCCAACAGCYGTAGCTCAGTATACCAAACAAGGTTTTAAAGTTATAATAGAAGAGGGGGCTGGCTTGAATGCACGGTTCTTAGATGAGGATTATATTAATGCTGGAGCTACTGTCCAAAGCACGAAAGATGTCTACAGCAACTCGGATATTATCTTGAAAGTGAGTGGAAAACATGGTGTTATATCGGTCATATTGAGATGAATTCAGGCAAATAACATGTTCTGTTAGAATTTATTCCCTACCTGATTAGTAAAACAGTAATTCCTTATATGCAAAGCAACAAAATCATCATGATATGATGTACATTAAAAGTATATTTTAATCAAATGCATTTTGATCATGATTTTTTCAGAGCTTGTTAGTTTTTTTCGGGACAACTTGTTTTAGAAATTAGTTTATACATGTACATTAAACCATGTTACGTAAAGTTTTAATTTTGTGGCTACAGCAGTCAAAGGGTTATTATAACTCATTTGCTTACATTTATAAAATTTGTAATTTTTGTTAGGTGAGGCCACCAGCTCTAGAAGAGACAGATCTGCTAAAGGATGGCACCAAGTTGATCAGCTTTCTGTAYCCTGCACAAAACAARGARCTCATAGACGCATTAGCCAAGAGAAAAATAACTGCTTTTGGTGTTGATTGTATACCTAGAATAAGCAGAGCCCAATCATTTGATGCTTTGAGCTCAATGGCAAACATYGCTGGCTACAAAGCTGTTATTGAAGCTGCAAACCTGTTTGGCAGGTTTTTTACTGGACAAATAACGGCAGCTGGTAAAGTTCCTCCAGCAAAAATTCTTGTTATTGGTAGGTACCTCTACAAAGTGTAATTTAAGTCAGTACATGGTAATGTTTATAACTAAATCATCAAAGTGTTTATTAATGTTCAATGAATCTTTAGGTGGTGGAGTCGCTGGTTTGGCAGCCATTGCAACTGCAAAGAACATGGGTGCCGTAGTAAGAGCCTTTGATACCAGAGCAGCAGTCAAAGAGCAGGTACAGTCTCTTGGAGCAGAGTTCCTGGAAATAACTGGAATTGAAGAATCAGGAGAAGGTACGCTGTATTGTTATAAAATATGGATGTATTTTGTTGGCAATTATTATTGCTGCATTGCTATTTTTATTATTATTGTTTAAAGTACCATTAAATGTTGAAGTGCGTGCAAAGACTAAAAATGCAATAAAAAATAAATAAATAAATAAATAAATAAATAAATAAATAAATAACCAACTAGTGCACTAAATAGAGTAGATTATAGACAAAGGAATTCACATTACCAAGTAGAATTTAGCACTTATTTAATTAGTGAAACATTTCATGGTGTTTGTATTATAAATAACAGACACTCTTTCTTGTTGTATCTGACATTCTTATTGCCTTATAGGATCTGGTGGTTATGCAAAGGAAATGTCCAAAGAGTTCATTGAAGCAGAGATGGCTTTATTTGCCAAGCAGTGTAAAGAAGTGGACATTGTCATCACCACAGCTTTGATTCCTGGAAAACCAGCACCAAAGCTAATTACAAAGGAAATGGTTGAATCCATGAAACCAGGCTCTGTCATTGTTGACTTGGCTGCAGAGACTGGTGGAAACTGTGAATTCACTAAACCAGGAGAACTTAATGTCCACAATGGTGTTAATGTGAGTAATTACAGCAGAAACCGTTGCATCTCGACTTCAATTTTCAAAGGAAATAGTTGGGATTTAGGTTTTTCTGCGACTTGGGGGCGGAGCTTGATACTAATCAGCCAATGATTGAACAAGTTTACGAAAAGCTCCGCCCCTCAGATTGAAAGAAAGAACAAAATCCAGACAAACTTCAAAGCAAAGAGGTCGCGATGCAACGATTTCCACTGTAAATGCATTATTATTATATGACAATGTACACCAGAGTACAAAATTAAAATTTTCCTTTCCCTGTTATGTTTATTATTTTAACYTCGATTCATGTCTGTAAACCCCACCTTTTAACAGCATTATGTATTCCACAATTCCAGATTGTTGGATATACTGATCTTCCAAGTAGACTTGCTGCACAAGCCAGTACATTGTATGCCAACAACTTAACAAAGTACCTTACATCGATGGGAGGACAGAAAGGCAGTTTTGGTATCGATTTGAATGATGAAGTAGTCAGAGGATCTATAGTGYTACAAGATGGGAAGATGATGTGGCCACCACCACAGATTAGCCATCCACCTCCTACACCTTCAAAACCGAAAGCCATTGTCAAACCACCAGAAACATCACCTTTTAATAAAGCTTTACAAGAGGCAGGACTTACAGCAGGTGATTAACATACAGTACTTGGAATTATTATGTCTGTGATCTACAAAACAATGGGCAGTGTACAATTGATTCATTATTAATTTCCTTTGTGTGAAGACATTATTTCCAGTGCAGTGTGTTGCATCTTTGATTTGCAAAATTTAGGATATTGYTTACTGAAGAAAGAATCTTTGGTCCTTATACATAAGATGATATTGTTGTCATTTGCATACACACGGCTTTCTTCTTTTTACAAGTCTTAATGCAAACTTTTCCGAAAATTCCTGGGTTGACATCAATATTGTGTTTTGAATTGCAGCTGGTCTTGGATCCATTGTCGCTCTAAGTGCTGCATCTCCAAATGCAGCCTTTGCTACCATGGTGACAACCTTCTCATTGGCTGGTGTMATTGGCTACAAAGTAGTATGGGGTGTTACCCCTGCCCTCCACTCACCACTGATGTCCGTCACCAATGCAATCTCTGGTATAACTGCCGCTGGTGGTTTGGTAATGATGGGCGGAGGCTGGACGCCTGATGGTACTGCGACCTCCCTTGCAGCAGCCGCTACACTGATATCCTCYATTAACATCACAGGAGGATTCATTATCACAAAGAGAATGTTAGACATGTTCAGAAGACCAGGTAGGTTCAGAAAGCTTTKGAAGTCCTTTCTTCCACGAGACCATTATATGAATGACATATTGAGATTTATAATGACTCTTTCAGCTCCTCGAAAAGAAGTGTAGTTTAAAACAATATTTCATTGAGAGTACTCCTTAAAATACTCCAAAAATCTTTAGCATTTAAGGCAAAATGATAGCTGTTATTTTATGGGCTGCAGGCCATTTAGGATATCGTTGTTGAGTGACCGGCAGTCGGCTCAAATTCGCACAATGTCTCTAAGTGCAACGAATTTCGGCGCGACGTTTTATGTCTCATTTTACCATAGAGTTTGATCTCAAGTGCTCCTTAAAATCCTTGCAGATTAAAAAGTAAATTAATATTACACTATGTCTCTATATATCAACAAAAAACTAATTAAGAATAAATCTTCTAATGCCTAGAAAAATGTCTGCTTACATGTACTTCATGAAATCTGTTATTTAACTTCAGGYGACCCACCAGARTATGCATCCATGTATGCACTGCCTGCAGGAGTTGCTATTGGCGGTTATGCTGCGGCTAAGTACGCCGGTTATCCTGATGCCGATCAACTAGCCTACCTTATCTCATCACTGTGCTGTGTTGGCGCTTTATCTGGGCTTTCAGCGCAGACTACYAGTCGACAAGGAAACTCTCTTGGTAAGGGCGTSTCTTGAAGAAGGAATTAGTCGTGAACACAGGAAAAGCAGAGGGCTCTATTATTACGTTTTTTTCATATTATATAATGTTTCAATTAAGAGCCATTTTGAAGAAATAAATAGCTGTTATAAGTTCAATTATWATGAAAAGTGTATTTTAAAATATTTGTGTTTTTTTTTGTGTCCAGGTATGATTGGTATTGGTACTGGACTGGCTGCAACCATAGGCAATCTGAACCCAAGTTTAGAAACTCTTGGCCAGATGAGTGCAATGATGGGMATTGGYGGTGCCATCGGTGCTGCCATCTCAAGYCGCATTGCAGTAAGCGAYCTACCACAGCTTGTGGCTGCCTTCCATAGTTTTGTTGGACTTGCAGCCGTTTTAACTGCAGTTGCCAAATTCATGATTGATTGTGATCACTTTGCTTTGGACCCTGCTGGTAACGTTCACAAGACAGCAATCTTCCTGGGAACKTTCATTGGAGGAGTGACATTCACTGGTTCATTGGTTGCCTTTGGTAAACTCCATGCTTTGTTGGATTCAAAAGCCCTGAATCTTCCTGGCAAGAATCAACTTAATATCGCCATGGCGCTGGCTAATGTTGGTGCTATGGGCTGGTACATGACAAGTGGTGACAGCAGTGTYTGCTTGTCCATGTTAGGTGAGGTTTCTTTCAAAAAACATTTATACTGTCTGTATCATTTCTTTGAAAATGCTCACTCTTTACCGAGTTTTACTTCCGGTAGATGWTTCCCGCCAAAAATGGCGACCTGTCGCTGATGATTATTTTGTCCAATTTAAACTCATATTTAATTTTTTTCAGAGATTTTCGCATARAAAATGTTATAAAGCTAAATCTGTGTACACACATGATTCAATTTTGACTTTTGTTTGACTCTAGATTTCACATTTATGCAGAAAGCAACAAAAAGCTTCCCGCCTTCGCCAAGTCGACGCGCGCGCGCGTTCTAAGATTTTTATTATTTTTTGGCGGGAAAAAGCTGTGATTTCTTCCCTCACCTCAATGCGCTTGTAACAACCAACATACAGTTTCTGTTTAACTAGAAAATGGCGCTTTGAATTTTACTAGCGGTTCTTCTATTTCACATTCCAAAATTTCCCTATTTTCCAATGCATAAATATTATTGGTTGTTTTTTTTTGCAGGTACAACTGCCACTCTATCCATGATCATGGGATGGCACATGACTGCATCTATCGGTGGAGCAGACATGCCTGTTGTTATMACAGTACTAAACAGCTACAGTGGATGGGCACTTTGTGCCGAGGGATTCATGTTAAATAACGATCTTTTAACTATTGTTGGTGCATTGGTTGGGTTCTCTGGTGGTATCCTGTCGTACATCATGTGCAAAGCCATGAATAGATCGCTTKCTAATGTCCTTTTCGGTGGCTATGGAACTCTGTCATCAGGTAAGAGAGCCATTTTGTGTTAAATTGTTGCTCTAATGGCTTTTTTCCATGTGTATGCGTTTTGCTGTCGTTGTTATTGTTGTTGTTGTTTGTGTTGTTGTTGTTGCTACTGAAGTTGATGCAGGCGCTGCTGCTGTACAAAATTCTAAGGAAGTGACTGTTTGTTTGTTTGTTCCAACTCTTCTCGTTTGTAAAAGTCTAGTTTTGTTTTGCTTCTGCCACAATCTTAAGAAAGAAGGTCGAGAAGAAATGCACTTTTCAGCTCAGTCAAACAGAACTCTCGTTCCACCCCTCCCCCTCTCCCCAAACAGCTCCCAAAGAGTGTTAAACAAGTATGTGTGATCTTCGAAACGCACCTTTGAGCAAGGCTAGGTAGAGGGCAAGAATAAAGATTAATGAAGAATGAAATTCTCAACTTTTTTTGTCCAAGTGTGYAGCTTGTTTGCTTGAAATATCGCATTTTTCTAGTGTTCAATGTTTCAATTTTGCATCAATAATATATAATGTACACAGTTTGTTGATTTGCTCTCGCTCCAACTCAATATAGCTGAAATAGTTATTTCAAAACCGATTTTAGTTTTACATTTGCTGAATTTGTATATAATTAATCTTTTTCATAACAATTAACGGCTACTTTGTTTATATGTTTGATTTCTTCTACAACTTCGTCTTCCTTGTTCTTTMATGGCGGCGTTTCTCTGCCGCGTGTTTTGTCTTGTTATGCGAGTGTTTTCTTGCTTGTTCTTTCGAGACTGTAGTCTCTTTAGTGGTTTCTGTATTCCAAGRTCAGCATTTGTAAGCCGACGAGTTTGGCTTCGAGTAACACGTCGCAAACTTTCTGTCGACGTACTTGGCTCATCTGCGATAGCRCTTCGAGAATTTGTGCCTTTTTCGCGGGCCTTTGTGTCTTCGTCATCTTCGGATGCATTTTCTGAACTTTGTAAGGAAAATACAGTAAATTTTCTTTARAATACACCTCAAGTGTCCGTTGAAGGAGATTCAATCAAAACTTTCTTTAGGCTCGACCCGAGGATTTATCAAGCAAGATGTACATGAGATGTAAGTTTCTAATATCGGGGTAACTGCAAGCTGAATTCATTAGAAGTATTTCTTCACTCTCAATATCTCACTTTAATTGCTGAAAAATTGAATTCCGGCTTTTGATTTGTGATCCCTGATGTCAGCCCCAGATATACTATGCTTAAATATTCCAATATCAAGTTTTGCTTGTATTATCTGGCGAATTTTCCTAAGACTTTCACAAAAGTTTCCAAATAAAAGTGTTAGCCTAGRCGTTACCTGGTTTGTGGCTCGTCAATTTTTGCTCTTTCTTCGCGTACACCTTGAATCCAAACCCATTCTTCCTCTTGATCCACCATTCCACKTTGCCCTTCCTCATTTTCAGGGACATCCTCCCAAACGTAACTCGTCAAACTATTCATCGTACTTTTTCTTCCCCTAAAAACTGTTTATGACGTCATTTTATGACGTCAAAAGTGAAACCGCGCGCGTGCGTGAAGTAGCAAAGACACAGGAAACCCACATTCTGGTATTGGAAGCTGCATTTGTGAAGGAAATGTCAGGATCAGAAAAATAAAAGCAAACTGAGTGAAACTATTTTTAAAGAATTGGCAATTTAATATTTTTATTACAAAAAAATTATATGAAAAAAATAAAAATTGTTCTCATCAGATATCTTATTAGTTTGATACCAAAAATAACAAAGGCAGTTTTTGTTTGGAAAAAGAGTGATATTTTGGCAAAACTCTTTCCGCAAATCTTTGTTTTACGTTGCTATAGCAACACCAACTGAGTTGACATTAATAAAAGCTTCCATCTCTGAATTGTATCTGAAGACTKTCGTTGAAAACGAATGATTCTTTGATTTGATTGGTTCAAAGATTCTTCGGTCTTGTCTCTAACCAGAGCCTTCGATTTTCCGTTGCCAGATTGAGAAGGGTCTGGGCATGAGAATGTATCTGGTGCAAATGACAACTGGGGATATTTTTAATAAGAGTATGGCATAAGGACGTTCTTCTGATCCATCCTCTATTTTATTCAGGAACTGGCGAAAAGATGAAGATCGAAGGAACACACACTGAAATCAACGCTGACTCCGCCATTGATATGATTACAAGTGCAAAGAACGTCATCATTGTCCCTGGTTACGGTCTAGCCGTTGCTAAGGCACAGTACGCCATCGCTGATATGGTGAAAACTCTTCACGAAAAGAACATCAATGTACGATTTGGTATTCACCCTGTTGCTGGTCGTATGCCTGGACAATTGAACGTTTTACTTGGTAAGTCCGGCTAGCGATAGTTGATAATTTAGTCGGGAGTGTCACAAACATCAGGCGTGGTTACACTATTTATCCAAATATTGATCACGCGATGAGGAACCTTCATAAAAAAGTGTTGGGTTGCTCTACGAATTGACCTTTACTTAGAACAAATKGTGGAAACTAACGGTAAAATAGCGAGAGCTGCGTTGGTGTTTCTTAAGAAACAGTTGTGTAACTGAAAAAGATAAATTTAGCACCGTAAAAAGGTAGGTGAAATAACTTACTTATTTTCTTTTTACACAACTGTTTACTTTGAGGACAAGCAGCTTTCTTCAAGATCTGAAATTAGAATCTGATTCCTTTCTGCAGGGACATTTTCATGGCCGGCCTACTTTTTATGGTAGTTTCTCTTAAACTTTTCAATCAATTTAAAATAAGTATGTTTCATATGGTAACATTTGCAGCTGAGGCTGGAGTCCCTTACGATATCGTCCTCGAGATGGATGAGATCAACGATGATTTCCCAGAAACAGATCTAGCGTTGGTTATCGGCGCTAATGACACGATTAACTCAGCTGCACAAGACGATCCTAATTCATCCATTGCTGGGATGCCTGTGTTAGAAGTCTGGAAGGCCAAACAGGTAACGAGACAAACTCCATATGCACGACAATTGGCGAATTTGATGGCCCACGTGAATCTGAGAACCTTTGCTTTGCGCGATTTTCTCACATAACTAAAATTCGATATTTCAAAATCTCTGCGTTTGCACCAATCCCCGCAACCGTTTAAAGTTTCGGTCACGCGTCACGCAAGCTTTTTTGAAAAGTTTGCGTGACGCGTGACCGAAACTAAACACGGGCGTGAGGAGACTTATAGCGCGTATCTTCGACGTCATTACAAAAAAGGCCATTAAAAGCCCTTTTTCAGTCATGCGCAATCCGCACTTTAGTCTTTCTATTTTTCCTAAAGCGGTGAACTCTTTTACGAATTCAATTATTTGTTCAATTCAGGTCGTGATCATGAAGAGAACATTAGGAGCCGGCTATGCTGACGTCGACAATCCCGTGTTTTTCAAGGAAAATACCGCCATGTTGCTAGGTGACGCCAAGACCATGTGTGATGCCTTATTTGGAAAAATCCGAAGTCATTACGACATGGAATAACCCCCGAGTGTAGTATTACAGTGTAKTATTAGTTAGATCCATGTATAGAATGATCGGAGTTGAGTGAATGAGTGCTGGCATCTTCAATGTTTGTGAAGAAAGAATAASTAGAGAGCGAATTCAAACAAGTCTGAACAATTGTAATGTGTGCAATAATGCAACGCACAATAAATTTGCTACTTTATTAATCTGTGTGATGATCAGRCAGTWTTCCRGTAACMATCSACATCTTCCTTTTGATTGYTTTCTTAGTACTGCACTGTTTTTGTTAGTTCGGTTTTGTTTTACAACTCCATTCATTGTTTGTTGTACGAATTGGCGTCACTGCACATTTTTGATTTGTTTTACTTATTAGTATTACATTCAGAATATCTTTCTCTGATATACGACATTGGTTCCTTTGGTAGGTTCGGCATTGCATGCGTTGATYGGTTGTTGCTATGTTTTCAAGTAATTCAGCCGAACCGAGTCGCAAAATCTACTGTAGAATACTCGATTTCTCTGTGCCGTCTTGAAAGGTAGCTGAGACTTCGCATCATACACAGACATTAGTTGACCCTGCAGTGACAAATACCTTTTTATTCACACATAAGACAATCAATTCTTGGGTTTCAACCAAATGCTAAAGACTCCCTCTAGAATTWAAGAAGAAAGCTATCGCCGCCATGTTGGATGACCGAACAAGCGAAATTAGAGTTAATTTGTTATCATCATCCAACATGGTGTAGATGACGTACAGTGAAATCTCTATAATGCAAAGGCACGGTTAYCTTTCAAGATGGCGCTGGAACTGTACAATGGATTATTCAAGCTGGTCGTTCAAAATAACATCGATAATACAAAATTTGATTCATCGCAACAACTATTAACTTTTAATTTGGGGTGATTCAATTTGTTTACAATACAGTTTGTACAATCTTCTATCCATACGGAATCCCAGCTGTATGGACAGCATTCTATGCACTTGATTTGTTTTCAAGATAAACCACCCTAGCGCTACATTTATGTCGAATATAAATCTGATCTAACCTTTCTGTACAATATTCTTGAAACCATATTTGATAATCCCGAAAAATGAAACGATCCCAACGATACAAGGTAATTAAAGACCTATGCTTGTCCGGGAACTTTTGAGCCCGATTTTCTCAGTGGAGAAACATCGGCATCTTTGATTTGGAACCAATCAGAGAGCATTAACTTTAAAAAATAGATTAAAAACAAAGCAAGCAAACAAAAAACAAGATGCAGTTGGTTGCAGAAGTTACTGATAATTGTGGATGATTTCGTTTCTCGTTTTTATTTCCCTTAATTTCTTTAGATGGCCGAACTGTTGCTTCTCTTGCATTAACCTAAAGATGGAGAGAATTCGAAAGATAATGATCAACATATACAATTTCAAAAMGTCCAGAGATTTTAGGCGGGATTTCCTGCTTACTGTCACCTTAACCCGATAAGACCGAAAAGAATCGTGGATCTTTCAACAACAATAGGAAATGTGCAGCGATRTCACTTTGTGCAACAAAGCATGATGGAATTTTCAGTCCTTGCACTTTTTTCGTGTCCGCTAAACTGGTCTTCCTGACCTAAGCCGTTTCTTATTTTATCATTTGAAACATTGTCAAAAAAGGTGACAAAATAAGATTCACGGCAGCTATTGCTAGCCATGCGCAAAGCGTCAATGCAAATTTACGTTTCAGACCAAAGCACGCGCAACGAACACTGGAAAAATCGCGCGCTTTAAAGGTTGTAAATTTGATGTAAATACATTCTGTAAATTTAATGGGAATCATTTACATCAAATTTACATAATTTTGGACACTTACATCATATTTACATCAAATTTACAACCTTTAAAGCGCGCGATTTTTTCCAGTGTCGAAGATCGATGATTCGGCGATCGACCTGTATCGTTTTAAGGTGCAAGCATTCCCTGTAAAACATTTTTCATTCATCGGCCTTGYACAACCATAACACTCATAGTATACACCTGGATAGACCCCTGAACAGCGGATCCTGTCTGTACTTATACGYGTTATTGGGCCTGTGTCCCTAACAACAAATATCGATCCTTACCTTAATAGTAGTTGCATCCATATATCTCAACGCGCATGCACATGTCTGATACCCACGCTGTGGGGAAGATGCGTATATATCGAGCAGAAATCCTAATTGGTAGTTTGTTGTATTGTACTGACGAGGCATCGTAGTTGGCGCTCTGTCGAAGAATAAGTCATGGAAAGATGTAAAAAGAGTTTTGAGTATGCACATGATGGTTAATGCATGCAGCAACCCAAMGATATGCTGATGAATGCTTTTTCTCTGTTTAGAAGAAGCAAACAACATTTCGCTTCACATGCGTCGTGGAGATGCTATTCGCACAAAAAGATATTAATCCTATCGCACGGAGATCATGTATCGTGCTGCTCCGTTCTCGGTAATAGAGCACGCTGAAAATTTGTGAGTAGCACAAAAGATCCGAAGAGATGGAGAAGTTCGAGCTGCGAGTGATCTCTTCCCTTTACAGCTTATAAGCCATTTTTTTAAACTAGACAATGAATATGAACGCCATTTTTTCAAGCAGAGCATGATGGTTAATATATTTCCAATTCAAAAGAACATATTACAAAAATGTGTGTTCGTGTTTTCTTTTCAAATTTGTAGGTAATTTTGCCGTTTCTTCAAAAAAAACTGGATCGAACTGTTTTGAGGAAACTCATTTTGTCCACGACTGCATTTTAAATCATGCTTTATTCACTGTACAAAATGGCGTTTAGGAAATGTCAGCTGTAGTTACCAGTCCACTTGGGTACCAGGTAGCATAGTTGTACCATGGATCTGCACCAGTGTAACTGAAGTGGAAATTGAAGTGTGTTACCCACGAATCACTACCAAACAAACTAACAAACCCCTGCGTAGCGATTCCGTTGATGTACTTGTACGAACCAAGATCGATCTATAAACAAACAACATGCCATGATTAGCTACGGACTCGACTGGGTTGCATAATTTATCAATRGGGAGTTTCGTCACCAACCGTTAAATATTGACCCGCTTTAGGYGAACTAGGACACCATGCCCCATTCCCTTGRGCGGTGCTTTTAAGGTGTAGYCTAGCTTGGTTTGGTTGATGATAGGTCTTGAAAGAAGATGCGCTAAACTTAGAATCTTGGATGCGGCCATCTTGGATACCAAGTGACTGATAACAAACTAATATAATAATGTAAGAAGACATCACTCGTTGTTGATTT